ATGATGATGATGATGATACATCTGAAGAAGATAATAATAGAGTCTTCGAAGATAATGATTTAGAATACTCCTCAGATAATGATTCGGATGAAGATTTTCAAGTGAATTTGTTGCACTGGAAATGAAATTAGAAGAAAATAATTTTAAGTGTGCTAAAGAAGGATTCGATAGCATTTTTTCGTGGATTGTTATATGGAACTTGAAGCATCAAAAGAGGTTTCAGCTATCTAATATAACTACAAATTCTCTATTTGAATTTTTTCGTTATGTTCTTACAAATGTAGACAAAAAATTATTCTTCACTTTTCCCGCTTCTCTTTATATAACGCAAAAGAATCTGGATATTTGTGCTCATCTAATTAATTATGCAAACTGTAAAAAATGTTGTAAATTATATAAGATTGCTGATGTGTCTAGTGATAATCCTAATATTACTCCTAAATTCACGAAATGTGTATTCCAAGAATTTACTGAACACCCTATGAGAAATAAAAGAAATGCTTGTGAAAATACTTTGTACAAACTTGTTCGTACAAAAAAGGTATAATCAAAAGGCCAACTTCGATATTTCCCACGGTCAGCTTAAAGCACCAATTGAATCTCTTATTTAAGCAAAAAGGTTTTGAAGAATCTTATAGAAAATAGGTTAATTGTTCTTCTGATTCAGAGATTCTTGCTGATATATACGATAGAAGAATATGGAAATCTTTTAAAGATGAGGATGATTCGATCTTCTTTCAGCCAAACTTAGCGGATACACATATTGGAATAATGCTCAATATGGATTGGTTTCAGCCTTTTGAAAACTCTCAATATAGCACAGGAGCAATCTATGCAATAATATGCAATTGCCTCAGAGCGAACGATTTAAGCCATCCAATATATTGACGTTAGCATTGATTCCAGATCTGAAAAAACCAAGACTATATCAAATAAATCATTACTTAGCACCTTTAGTTGATCAATTAATCGATTTATGGAAGGGAATAGACTTACCAGAAACTTTCAAACATCCTAATAGAAAAACGATTAAAGGAGTCATTATTTGCTGTTCTTGCGATATACCTGCAGCAAGAAAGCTTTATGGGTTTATTTCTGCGAGAATTGCATGTCATAGATGTCTTAAACATGCTAATTTTGATGATAAAAAGCAGCCAAACTTTGGCAGATTGGACAATATGAATAGCTGGTTTGTAGAAAGAAACGTCAAAGATGTTAAAAACAATGCTTTTGAATGGAAAAATTGCAAATCAGAAGAATAAAGACGAAAGCATGTGTCTGAAACCCTTGTATGGTGGTCTGAAATACATTATTTACCTTATTTTAATCCTATACGATTTCTAGTCATCGATCCTATGCACTGCCTTTTCCTTAGAATTGCAAAATGGATTGTGACGAGACTATAGATTGAAGAAAACAAGCTGACAACAGCTGATCTTACAGTTATACAAAAAAAGGCAGACAAAATACAAATGCCTATGGATATTGGTAGGCTTCCTAGAAGAATAGATACAGGGGAAGGCTTTTCTAGCTTCTCCGCCGACCAGTGGAAAACGTTTATATTAATATATGTGATAACCACTACTTGGGATCTTTTAGAAGAAGCTGACCAAAAAATCTCGCTAACTTTGTTCGCGACTGCAGTATTTTGGTATGTAGATTAGTATCAAAAAATGATCTGGTAGAAGCCCACCAACGTCTTATAGAAATGGGTAAAGAAATTGAACGAACTTATGGACTGAAGAAAATTACTCACAATTTACATTTATGCATGTATTTATGTGAATGCATGTTGGATTATGGACCATTGTACGCCTTTTGGTATTACTCTATAGAACGAATAAATGGATTATTAGGTAATCATCTATTTAATATAATTATTCGATACCAGCATTTACTAATATTTAAATATTTTTTTAGGATCATTTCAAAACAGCCATAGAAGAATTGAGCCTGAGCTTATGAAAATTATTCAAAATAATGCTCTTCTGGATGAATTAACATCTCGTGATGAACAAAATTAGCATCTTCAAAAAAATCTTGAAATACTAAAACTGAAAGATTCAGTTGGAAGTCTTTCAATATATGATGAATATTCTGATAAAGAATATCAAACATTTCGCTTATTATCAATAAAAACAGCAGAAGAAGGTACGGCTTATGGTTTTAAATTATTTTCAGATTCTTTCTAGGTCCATTAAAAAAAAGTAACATTGCAGTAAGAATTTCAGCAGTTATTGGTTGAATTTTATTGTAATGCGTAAAATAAAGAATTTGTTACATTATCACATATTCATAAGACTGCAGAATCTTCTATTCCTGTCGATCTGAATGTTAATCAATTTAGCCGATTAAGAATTGAAACAGAAATATTTGGGTCGACATTATCTTCTCGACATGCTAAATCGGCAAAAATATTGGCTCATTTCTTTATAGATGATGATACTTCTGACATATACCTCGGTCAAGTCCAGTTCTTTTTCGAACACACAGTTTATCTACCAGAATCTAAGAAACATTATTTAGTGTTTGTGAGATGGTATGAGCTGGCTAAACACTACAGTACTAGATTCCATTGTAAAATAGATGATGATGATAAATCTTGCAATATAGAGTTATGAAAATTGAAATTTTACGAAGTAGGAAGAGATTGTATAATACCTATTCACAATATCTTATATTGATTCATTTCAGGAAGCTTTGAAATCAGCAAAAAAAATCCAAAAAAGTATATCACAGTTATACTGATCAATAGAAAATTTCATATTTAATTAATTAATGGTATTTGATTTTTTTAAAATTTTCAAGAAAGAATAATCTTGCTATTTCTTTATTGTTTTAAATGATGTGTTACATTTTATTGTCTTACATTTATTTAATGTTACATTCGTTACACTTTTATTTTAATTTAGGCATTGTATTGATTAATTAGGTTATATTTTCGATCATTGCGTTACATTTTCGGATTAATTGAAATTTATCGATACTTAAAGTCTTGAACATAATTTTTTATTTTTTATTCACTTTTTATATATTTTATCAATGAAACAATTAAAAAAAAAGAACTTTTTTATTGAATTTTATTATTATTAGTTTATTTTATTATAACTTCTATTATAATATTACAATAAATAAAAATAAACATACATAAAAGAAAAAAAATAAACTTAGAAAATATTTTTTACCCATAATAATTAATCACCTGATTGGACACCGATACTACAAACATATGATTAATCAGGTGTTCTGATAAAATTCCAGAACTTACCTGATTTTCCTTTGTAAATATTGGGTTCTATAATTAAATATCGAATAAAAATCATTATTCCAGTACTTACCTGATATGGCTATATCAAGTATCGGCAAATATCAATTTCTAATTTCCCCTGATATTTGTCTGATTCTTGATAATCTGATATTTCTTCATTCGACCTGTGTCAGTTGATCAAAATCAACCTGAAGCCTTTAGGCAATTGCATAACGTTAGATCATTTCGTTTCAAAAAGCTTCAATAGAGGTCTTGATTGAAGTGAATTCAGATGAAATGTTACCAAAATCATTATGGCAGGCTTCTTCAATATTATTGAGTATATTATATAAATATTCGATTGTATTTTTTTTGCTTCAGTTAAATTAGACCCAATCACCATGAACAGCTAAACTAAATTTGTATCACATGTGATTTTCCTAAATTCTTGCCAGTTCCATAACAGTTTCATGACACTTCCCTAGTACTTTCATGACGCTAAGTGGTTTCTCAAATCATGGGTGATCTGCATATCATGTGGATTTAAAAAATAGCTAAGCCACCATTATTATTATTCGATTAATCATTTCAATAAATCAAATGAATCATCCTTCATTATGATCGGAATATATCACTCGATATTTCCATAAAACAGCCCCAATTTTTATGGAGTTCTCTAACCAATGTAAACATGTCTTCTTCTACTGAATGGTCTGACGCTCAGCTTCATCTTCTCATCAATGAACGTAAACAAAGAAATTCTGAATATCATACTACCCCAAATAAGAAGAAACAAGATTTTTAGGACAATATCACCAGTAAGCTTAACGAACAAGAAAATACCAACTTTTTCCTGGGTAAAGACTGTCACAATAAGTTCTTAAACCTTACGAAAGCTTTTAATGTAAGTAGACCTACTTGGATTTTACGTGGAATCTAGGGTTAATATACTTACTATTTTTTTAGACAACCAAAAAATATAGAGAAGGAACTGAGTTTGGTGGGGAAAAAAATATACAAAGAGTTCTCAACGAAGTTCTGGTTAAAACCAGATATGTTTCTGTAGAAAGTAAGTGGGTGATTATCTCTAAATTAACACGATTCTATATCTCCATTCGCTAGAACTTCCATTTGAATAAATGCGTAATGAAAATGTTAGTAGGACGAGTTCTTCTGAGAAATCAGCCTCTTCAATCTCAAGACCCAAAGGTAAATCAAGTTCTGTAACTGAACAACCATTGGAAAAAGCTGTCAAAAAGTCCCCTGCCATTGGCGTCTCTGGCAAATCATCATCACTCGCAACATCATCAAATCCTATCAAAACACCTAATATTTCCAGACCTGTTACTCCAACATTACCTTCTTTTTCGTAAAATGCAAATGTGATCAATGTTACTTTTAATTATGGTAGTACTCAAACAGAAGAGGATTAGGTTTTTCATTAATTTAGTATAGTAAATTTAAAATTTTATTGTTTTATCATGTGGTATTGGATGCAATAGAAAAAACAAATATTATATAATAAAAGTCTTGGGGATTGTGCTACATTGCAGATTTGCAGTAACTATAAGTAATACAAATGGATTTTTTACTATATATGGGTTAGTGAGTATTTTGTTTTGAAATTTTTTCTAGCAAGTTCCAGTTGTTATAATTTCGCGATCACAAGTGGGATATGTTCAGAAGTATAAAAACCCCTCCTTTCACTTATCATAACATTTTTCCCATAAATTACTTCTCAAAAATAATACTAATGGAATCAGAAAGATTCAATAATACCCCTCTACGTGTTCCATTAACTGATGAAGAAGAATTTGACCCTCAATATAAAAGTACACTCAACAGAAGTATCCTTTATTACAAGATTCAACCTACTGCATCTACCAATTCTCAAGGGGAATCCGCTCAAGAAAAATCTGAAACATATTCTTTGTGTAATGAACCCGATCCATTATTCGAACCTAATGGAGCTTACTTGGAACCAGTCGTGAGATTGTCCTGTCTTCATAGCTTTCATCTTAGATGCATTATTATTTCCTTAAAAAAGATACAACATATTCTCATTGCCACTCAAAACAATATATGTGTAAAGAATCACTTGACACTAAGTCCCATGCGAATTTGCCAATAAAATTTTTATTAATAACTATACGATTTAGCATAATTCAGTCTAAGTGAGTATCCTAGGCAGTCACTGGAGAGATGGTGGGACTCATTACTGACTGAGATGTGGGATCATCAAAAAAAAATATATAAATATATCATGGTTCTTGTGAACTTCCATATTTTATCAAAATCGTCATCAAGAGTCGCAGTATCATATATTTAGTGACTAAAGATGGTACAGCAATTGATTTCAAATTTACAAAATGTTGCAACATAAGCTAAAATTAGTTGCAACATATGTTGCAACATTATAAGTTGCAACATATATAAGTTAAAACTAATTGCAACGTAAGTTGCAACATTAAAAGTTGCAATATATTAATTACAATTCCCATCTTTATTAGTGACGTAACATATTTTCGTCTGATGCTAGGTATTTATTACAGTGCAGAATAACCATATACAAGAAAAGCTAAATAACTTAAATTGAAGATAAGGAATTTTGGTATATTATCATCATGAAACAAACCTATTCTGACACTAGTGCTGGTGATAAGATTGAGGTATACAAATTCTTGGAGGCTTTGGGATTGTTAGATAATGAAGTCTTACCCGTCAACATGGATGATGATGACAATAACGAATCTGACATTGATGAAGAAGATAGTGATAATGATCAGGACAATTATTGGGATCCTAGAAAAACATATACCAGATGGGATTATAAAAAACGTTTTGGTGAATATGCTTTGAAAAAACTTTATCAAACCTGGGAAGCTCATCATCGGAACATTATACTCATGGAATTTACCAGACGTCTTCCAAATTTATCTGAGGAAGAAAAAAATGGATTATTTGATATATTCTTCAGTTCTGAGACATTTGAAACGAAAATACATAATGCACTTTTGGATGTATTAGCTGATCCCATAAAAGGTTCAGATCTTAATAATTATTGAATGGATAATTTTCCAGCAGATTATGCCTGTAACGCAATTACCGTAAACGGTTGACTAAAGTACCCGGGTATTTTACAAATTCGTGAAGTTGGAGGGGTACTATACTACGAGGGG